AAATGCCTCAGCTCTGGCCTGGATGGGCAGGGTAGGTCGGCCGCCATGGTGTTTGTGGAGGGCACCAACAAGGGTATCAGTGGGGTCATAGCTTGGAAGAGGACCAAGACCTCCATGAGGTCCCTTAAGGACTGGGCGATTGCCACTGATTTTACATGGAAGGCGGTTGGATCCTGTGGCGATGGGCAGCGGAGAGGGACTCCTCCCCCCCCCCCGACAAATTGCAGCTGGTTAAAGGTTTGGGCCCCTCCTGGTTTAGTGAGCTGGGGTCAGGTCTCGGATCCCAGCAAGGCTGCTGTACGTAAACGTGAAGGACAGAGCAAAGGCCTGCAGCGTGAGGTGCGGCTCAAGGCCCGGACGAACATGCATCTCCCCTCTTTATTGCCACTCCCTTCCCTCAAAGGGTCACGAATACACAGAGGGAAAGGCAGAGAGCTCAGTCACATTGCCCTCCCTTCCCTTCTGCAGTGGTACAGTCGCCCCAACACCACGATGGGTCCTGGGCACAGGGAAGAGCATCTCCTCCTGGATCACCAGCTCAGCTTCCTTCTTGCGCAAAAGCCCAATGCAAATGGAGTGCAGATGAGCATGCTTCCGCACTTCATTTGCATAATTAATTAGGGGCGGGTTTCGCGCAAAAATACCCTCTTGCGCAAGAGCTGTTCTTCCTGACAAAAGGAGGAAGAACGGCTTTTGCGCAAGAGAGGGGGTTTGCGCAAAAAGGAGCCGTCTACACAGCTCCTTTCTGAGCAAAAGCCTCTTGTGCAAAAACGGCCCCTAATTAATTATGCAAATGAAGTGTGGCAATATGCTAATTCATGCTTCATTTGCATAGGCTTTTGTGCAAGAAGGAAGCAGTATAGTCATAGCCCCCCACTTCCTGCAGGCCCTGGGAGGTCCCCCCTCTGCACCCTGACCCCAGCTAACAGCATGTGAGAGGGGGACTCTGCTCACTCTTATTCACCAGGGGGACACAAACGCGTGTTATACTGAGGTGTTTACCGGTTTGTTAAGTGCCCCGCACCAGGACACGTAGCTGCCTACCAGCTTGTAGACACCGCTGCCCATAACAGGCAACCCATCCAGACAACAGCGGAGACCAAACAACTCCTCCGCGGCCCATCCCCGGGGTCTCGCGGCACCGCTGTAGGTCAGGAGAATCCTTTCCTTTTCACGCTTGTCATCATCGCTGGCTGGCTATGCTCACAAAAGCGAGCCGGGGAATGCAGGTTCACGTAGGAAACCAGAGGAGCTCTCTGAGGAATGCAGGCGAGCGGCCAGCTCTGGGATCCGGCCTGCACAAAGCAGGCGGCGGCTCATTTCGTGCTCTCTGGGAAAGGGAGGGTGGCGTTAGAGCCCTCCCGGAAAGGCACGAGGCATGGCTCCCTCGCTCGCTCTCCAGAGTTAGGGACGGGGTTTTCCGCCCCTTGTCACGTTCCACTTGCGAGAAGCAGCCCGGGGGCCTCAGCGTTATTAATCTAATCACTGCTCTAATTGCGGACAGCTGGTATGCGTGGGCTTGGAACTCATGCCCGTTCAGCAAAGGCAACAGAGGCAGCCCGGCTGGAGAGCGGGGAGAAAGTCCTCTACCCTCCTGGGAGCTGCAGGGCTTCAGGGGCAACCGCAAATGTGGCTCTTGGCCTTCTAACCTCAGCCTCCCACGAACAGGCTAAACAAACCAAGAGCACGGACGTCTCCCTTCTCCCTTTCCCCCTCCAAGCAAGCCCAAGGCAGAGACAAGCTCTCGTCATTTACAGTCAACGGGAACGATGAGAAAGAAGCCTCGTGTGTGACTGAACGAGGTGAAGACTTCAGACCTTGAGTTACATTGTGATATGAATTCCTTGGAGGACTCAAGGAAGGAAGGTTTGAAAACTGTCTGTCTGACTCTGCCTTGCCCAAGAGACAGCCTTTGGCCTTACTCTTCGGGCTCGTCTGCACTGGCCCCTTTTCCGAAAGGGGCATGCTAATTTGACAGGTCGTAATAGGGAAATCCGCGGGGGATTTAAATATCCCCCGCAGCATTTAAATAAAAATGTCCGCCGCTTTTTTCCGGCTTTTAGAAAAGCCGGAAAAGAGCGTCTACACTGGCCCCGATCCTCCGGAAAAAAGCCCTTTTCCGGAGATCTCTCTCTCAAAGTAGGACTAAGAGATCCTCCGGCTTTTTTCCGGAGGATCGGGGCCAGTGTAGACGCTCTTTTCCGGCTTTTCTAAAAGCCGGAAAAAAGCGGCGGACATTTTTATTTAAATGCCGCGGGGGATATTTAAATCCCCCGCGGATTTCCCTATTATGACCTGTCAAATTAGCATGCCCCTTTCGGAAAAGGAGCCAGTGTAGACGTAGCCTTCGTGGTTGAAGCACTAACAAGCCAACCTAACCACTAGATATTTACAGAAAGCCAATCACTGACATAGCTATGAAATGCTGGGATACTGCAAAAGGTGGAAAGAGAAAGCAAAATCCACCCTAGTCTGTATGAAAAGCCCCAGAGAGGGCTCAGAAAAGAATTAGAGCTGGATTTCTGTCCCACAAAATATTCCAATATTAAAAAAAATCATCTAGAACAGGGAAGAAAATTCGGCTTGGAGTTGTAACCCACACATCTACGGGGTGTGGGTCACTGTTCTATCTAGTGGCACTAAGACTACGTATAGAGAGAGAGAATTAAGTGTCAGAAACCTCAAAAGAGTTCATGCCAGTCACGTCAAAGCCATACAAAGTATAATGCCTGTAACATTAAAATATGATCATACAGAAGTCCACATAAATTGTTTGACATCATCAAAATGAAATCAAGCCCCAATCAATCATTTCAGATTTTTTTCAGTCAAAAGTGTAGTGCAAATTGCTGCCTTCCGGTGGGAGGTCGAGATTTTGACATTTTCAGACAGAAAACTATTCCTCAAAGTGTGTTGCAGCCAGCTCAAACGGGGCTGCTGGAGGGTTAGGAAGTTCTCTAGTCATGCCCAGTCTGCCTCAAGAGAGAGAACAGTCCTTCCCAGAAATGGTGTGTCCGTGTGTGAATTCTAGGCTACCGTCGACTCAGGGATACACCCACTCTGTAGCCTGAGGTGCGATGGGAGCAGGATAGAAACAGCCTCTCTAGCAATGAAGAGGTGGTGACGGGGGATTCAATGAGGGTTGTACATGCCCTTTTGGGACACTCGATACATATTCAAAGGGCTCGACTATCCGGAAGCCCAGCGTCTGTGATTTAAGTGCGATTTTTACCGGGGCTGGCACAGAGGAAGCTAGAACCATTTCGGCTTGGAGTTGTAACCCACACATCTACGGGGTGTGGGTCACTGTTCTATCTAGTGGCACTAAGACTACGTATAGAGAGAGAGAATTAAGTGTGCTCCATAGCCTTCGCTGAGAGCCAGCTGGCTTTAGCTCCCGTGGTAGTGGCTCATCCACTGAGATCCAGAGAGAGCCTAGGTTTGGGTCTGCCGGTTGGCTTTACACAGTAGATATAACCCTGGGCCATATCTGCAGTGACAGACCTGTGTGCAAGGCCACCATGGAAAAGAGAACACTTGGAACCGTTGAACGGAGCCAAGAAACATGCCCCGTCTCCCGGAGAAGATGCGCTAGCCAGGTCTCTGCGAGTGGGATGGGGAACCCAAAGCCCGGGGTGGGGGGATGAGGGCCTCCCCCAGCATTGGCGATACCGCACTGGCACTCCAGGCCCCCACATGGTGCCTCCCCACAGCCCCCCGTCCCCCACTGATTTTTCTGTAGGTCAGCGGCCCCCAACCCAAAAAAGTTTCCTCAGCCTTGGTCTAGCTAGTTCTTGCCTCTTTGCTTACGACTTAAAGGGGCTTGATATTATACTAATTCCCAGTAAAGGAATCGGTGCTAGGAGAGGCTATTGTCTGGTACGTGTATTACTCTGAGTCATAGGCAAAGAGTGAAGGTAGGGCCGGGGGAGGCATGCCCCAGTCCCACCCCTTTTGCCCAGGCCCCGCCCCCAGCACCATGGGGTGGGGAGATGTCATCTGGCTCCAGCCTCCCTGGCCCCGGAGCATGGGGAGGGCGGGTTTTGGGGTCAGCAAGGCTCTGCCCCCAGTACACCTTCAGTAGGAGTTCTGGGGGCAGAGTGTGGGCGGGGCCAGGCTGGTGGTTTGGGAAGGCAATGCCTTTCCTTGCCTAGCATATTGGCCACCCCAGCTCTGAGTCATCCCGCGCTCACCCAGAGACGGGACAAGAGAGACCCGAGGGTGAGCAGAACTCAGCCAATTTTACAGAGTGCGTTTGGGGTTTTTCTACTAGCCCCGCAGACCTTTGAGGGGGTCAAGGTAATGTAAAAAAACAGCGCAGCCCACAAAGGAATGGCGCAGTCCGCCTCTCTGGGCTGCATCTGGCAGACCTCTGACCGAACTGTAGGGGAACCACAACAGAACAGAGGAGTATCTCCCACCCTTCCCAGCGGACAGCCAATGCCGTCGAGGAGGAAAGCCCCCGTCATCTGGGAGCTGGAATCGCGCCCATGCAAACAGCAGCCGGCGCCCAAGAGCCAATTGGTCTCGGATGCGTTTCCCCCATTCTTGTGGTGGCAACGATTCCCTTGCGCTCAGGTGGACGGAACTCGGCCCTCTGGGCCAGCCTGGCTCAACGAGAGCACGGATCGGCTCCAGACTGAGCGAAGTCTGAAGGGCAGGGGGAGGGAAAGGGCGGAGTCCTGGAAGGAAGAGGGGTGGGCAAGAACTTCTCCACCTGGAGCACTGCTTGGCTGTAAGACGGTTTCCCCCAAGGGAAGGGATAGGAGCCCCGTTGCTTGGGGCAGTTGAAAATAGCCTATGGGGAAGAAGCCTGGATGGAGGGGAGCACAGACGACAGCTTCTCTGAGATCCACAGCGGCTACAGAAGGTCAATTGGCCCCTTTGCCCCTCCATTGGTGGGCCTGGGTGGGGTTGGAATGACCATTCTGCTGGAGAAATGGAAGGAGACTTCAAGGGTCACTACAGTCCCCCCAACACAGCCCAGCATGAGCACGTACCCCTCCAGGGAGGTTGGGATCTGCCTTTCCAGCCAGCAGCAGCCGGACGATCTCCTCTTTCGAGTGGGCAGCGGCCACGTGTAAAGCGTTTCGGCCATGCTGGAAGAGGCCAGAGAAAGAGTGGTTAGCAACACGCCTTAAAAACCTCCCCCCCGTCGTTTCAACCTCAGGCTATGTCTAGACTGCAGGAATTTGTCGGCAGAAGCAAAAAAGCAGCGTGGACGGGCAAAAAATCTCTTTTGCCCAAGATCCCTTATGCCTCAAAAAAGGAGGTATACAGGATCTTGCGCACAAGGGGTTTTTTTTGCGCAAAATGGCCCAGTCTACACTGCTTGTTTTTGCACAAAAACCTCTTCCGCAAAAAGGATCAGAAGAGACTATGCAAATGACAGCATGAGAAATGCTAACGAGCGCTTCATTTGCATTGCCTCTGCCAACAAATTCCTGCAGCCCAGACGTAGCCTCAGAGTCTTGCAGAGATGGGATTGACCAAGAAAGAGCTGTGCTCATCCATTGAAAAGTTTCAGCAGAGAGAGCCCCCTCCCACCCAGCTCTGCTCCCCTGCCTCAACGCTGGCCAGGAGCGATCGCCTGTCAGGCTCCTCTGTGCATTGACCTGGAACCGTCCCTTGCATCACGTGTTAGCTTCCTATGCTAACACCTTGGGTATGTCTAGATCAGTGGTCCCCAACGCGGTGCCCGCAGGCGCCATGGCGCCTGCCGGGGCATTTGTGTGCGCCCGCTGACAACCTGGGCCGGCCCCGCCCCCGGCGCACGGGAGGCGCCAGCCCCAGGCACGCGACATGCACTGGCACCGTGTGCGCGGCGCTTGGGCGGCC